GGGGGGGGGCATGAGAAGTGGGCACTGGGGGTCACGGGAGGCCCCACAGTGGGGGCAGGGGGCAACATTTGGGGCGAAAGGGAGGGAAGCAGCCAGAGGCACGGACAGTTCTGCTCCAGTCAGAGGAGACCCTGGCCTGTCATCTCCTGCCATTGGGGCCGGGGAAAGGCCCCGTGTCCTCAACAAAGGAGCCCCGACACAGGCACTGAGGTGGGGTGACAGGGCCCAGAGAGCCAATGGCCTGTGTGTGGACAGCCTGGGGAGGCTGGCACTGAGATGATCCCATTTCCCAGGTCAGGCAGCAGGCCACAGAGAGGGCAAGTAACTCGCTCCAGGCCACACAGCGCGTAAGAGGAAGAAGGCCACAGGCGGTCAGCTGTCCTTCCTGTGGTTGGACAGACGTGGGCTCCCTGCCAGCGGTGAGGGAGGGAGGGAGTGACTTAGCTCCACCGACCTTTCATTTCCTCCTTTGCAAACGGGGTGTTGGGGTTCTTGAGAGATGGGCTAACAGCAGGTGCTTGGACGTGCAAGGTAGCAGCTGTCTTACCTCAGTGAACCTCCCTCCAGACTCCCCCTGGAGTCCGCTGTCCTGGGAGGGATGGAGGGACAGAGAACTGACAAGTCAGCGGAGGCCCCTGCTCCCAATTCTGGCCTCCTCACCGCCAGTGCCCCTGTGCTCTGCTCAAACAGATTAGCAGAGATTGACTCTCTTGTCAGTTTGAGAGGAGTCCCAGCCTATTGGGCAAGGTGATAACTCCCCGAGGTTCCTGGCTTCACCTGGCCCTAAGCTAGAGGCTGTGGCCAGAGGAAACAGGACGGGTAGGGCTTAGCAGTGTGTCAGGCGCTAAGGGATTCCTCGCCCCGTCCAGCCATAGCCCTGGCGAGGTAGCTAACAAACAGCCACGGCGACTCCTTTCTCTGCTGGCGATGGACAGAGCAGCGAGGCCAAAGTGCAGAGAGAGAAGCCAGAGCTGTGCTGGGAGTGACCCCATTTACCTTCACATACCCCCCTCCCCCCAGTACACATACACCACTTTTTCCCTTCTGGTCTGCTTACTGTTGGGTTTGTTTCATTCCACTTTTAATCCAACTTTCAGTTTTGAGGTCATTGTAGATTCACATACAGTTGTAAGAAATACTACAAAGAAATCCTCTGTACCCCTTACCCAGTTTCTCCCAATGGTAATGTCTTATAAAACTATTGTACAGAATCACCACCAGGATATTGACACGGACACAGTCAAAATACAGAGCAGCTCCATCGCCACAAGGATCCCTCAAGCCCTTTTACAGCCAAACTCACACCCCTCTGCACCCCACCCCGCCCCAGCCCCCGGAAAACCAACGATCCGTTTTCCAGTTTTATAATTTTGTAACTTCAAGAACGTTATGTAAATGGCATCATTACAGCACATAATCTTTGGGGACTGGCTTTTTTTACTCAACATACTTTGTCGAAGATACTGCACGTATCAGTAGTTCGCTCTTTTTCATTACTGCGTAGTATTCCACGGCACGGATGTACCACACTTGAACCACTCACCACTGAAGGATATCTGGGCTGTAATGAATAAAGCTGCTAGGAACATTCATGTCCAGGTTTTTATGTGAACGTAAGTTTCCACTTCTCTGGGACAGATGCCCAAGAGCTCTATTGCCTGGCTGCATGGCAATCACAGGTTTAGTTTTACGAGAAACTGCCAGACTGTTTCCCAGACAGGCTGTCCCGTTTTACGCTCCCACCGGCAACGTATGAGGGATCCAGCTTCCTCCCATCCTCACCTACATTTAACGTGTCGCGATTTTTTCTTTCAGTCATTCTCGCAGGTGTATCGTGGCAACTCACTGGGCCTGTAATGGGCACGTCCCTACTGGTCCGCGACACAAACCTTTCCATGTGTTTCTCTGCCGTCTGTGCGTCTCCTTCAGTGAAATGTCTGGCTGGGTCTTCTCATTGGATTGTTTGAGTTTTAACACTGAGTTGTGAAAATCCTTTGCGTATTTCAGATGTTAGTTCTTTACGGGAGACGCAGTTTGCTGGTATCTCCTCCCAGTTTGTAGTCTGCCTTTTCAGCCTCTTCACATTGTATTTCACAGAGCAGAAGTTTTCATTTTAGTGAGGTCTAATTCATCACTCTTTCCTTCTGTGGACCATGGTTTTGGTGTCCAGTCTAGGAATTCCAGCCTAGCCTGGAGCCTGGAGGTCTCTCCTGGGCTTTTTACATTTTTCCAGCACCGGGCTAGCTTTCCTCCATCGGGCTGACTTTGCATCTTTGTCAAAAATAAGTAGAGCATATCTGTGGGGGCCTATTTCTGGGTTCTCTGTTCTGTTCCATGGACCTCTGTCTATTCCTTGTCACTCTCCTTTCAATTTTGTCTTTTTCCTTGAACTCTGACATTTAGAATCAGAAGAGAAATCTGCTTTGATTATGTTTCTGGAAACACTGACTTTCTCTCAGGACCTGAGGGAAAGGGAGTCCTGGGAATCAGACAACATGAATCTTCATTTCTACTCAATTAAAGAGGCTCCTGAGCGAATCATCTCACTTCCCTAGGCGTGAATTTCTTCCTCTATAAAATGAAAGGATTTGAACTAGCTAATCTTAGTCCTTCCCAGATTGAACAAGCTACCATTCTGTGACTCGGGTGGAGTGAATTTCCAGTTACAAGCATTTATTGATAAGCATGCATGTCCTGCCCTCACTTCGTAGTATTGTTTTCCAAATAGGAACAATCTCATAAAATCAAAAACTGACAGAACTGAAAGAAGAAATTGGCAAGTCCATTGTTCTAGTTGAAGATTTCAACATTCTCAGTAATTGAAAAACAATAGGAGCATAGACGTCTCAAAAAACTACCAACCAGCCTGACGCAAATGATGTTAAGGAAACACTTTACCCAACAACTGTAGACTCTACAAGTGCATATGGGACATTTACCAAGATAGACCGTATGCTGGGCCATAAGAAAAAATTAGATTGTTCAACAGTGCGCTGTTCAGGAGGCACCTCTTGGAGCCGTGGAGGAGTCCCCGAGCCTGGCTTTCCTTCAGCCAAGGAGACAACTCAGAATCGGAAAAGGTGCAGACACTGGTCTGAAGGTCACTGGCATTGGTGTTTTCCTAATGACACTGTGTCAAATCAAAATAGTCAGAGGAGATGGATTGAAAAACCAAATGATGGATAAGAAATACTGACTTTCAAAGTTTTCTTTGACTCATCTAAAGTACATGAAGAGAGAACGTATGAATACTTGTATTAAAGGTATTTCCAGGGAACATTTTTTTAAATAAACCTTTACTTGTTTGACACATTGGAAATATTATGTATGTTTTTTCTACCCTTATGGAATGAAAAGTGGCTTTAACTATTGTTAGGTGAGTACTAAACAAGGACTGGAGTAGGCTACATAATTTGTTTTTCAAATATCGATACAGGATTTCATGATGTACTGAGCGATGAAAGGACTTCGGGTTACATGAGGGAGCACAACCAGTTAAATGGTTGGTCTTCAGATGAAAATGACTGGGATGAAAAACTCTATCCGGTGTGGAAGAGAGGAGACCCGAGGTGGAAACACTCCTGGAAGGGTAAGTCGAATGATTCAACCCAAACAGCTGTCATTTTCTATTTAATTTAGTCTTAGGTTACAGACTTGGAGACCGCATGGCTTGTTTCTTCTGTGAATGACATACTCTAGTTCCCAAGTGGGAGGCCCCTGGTTTGGCAATCTTTCTTTTATCTCAACATATCATTTTCTAAGCCACACACAGACACACAAACAGTTTGATCTCCTTAGAACTTACAAGTCTGTGGTTTGGGGAAGATTTGGGAAAGTGTGCAGGTTTAGTCTGAAACATATTTAACTAACGTGTAAATGGTCATCTTCAGAAGATCTGAGACTCCAGAATAGTTTTTGATCATCTCACAACTGTGGTTTGTTGGAAAGTTTGTTGAATGACTTCTTTAGTCGTTGCTTTGGAATTTTAAAAGATATGAACTTTTAATACTTACTGGTCTCCTCAATCCAACTGGGCAGGTTTTAAAAATTATTTTAAGTGAATTCTTTAACTGGGCTGACTTCCTTTTGTTATTTAGCTTCTAGAATGTTATACTCTGATAGCCAAAGTTAGGAATCCAGAAAATAAATTCATTTATCGTAAAGAGGCATAAGGGTCCTCTGGCTGGTCCCTAGAACTAGGTTTAACGCGACGTCCCTCATCCGTGAGAGGAAAGAGACGCTTGGTCACTGAGCTCCACCCTTCTCTGCCTAGGAGGCCCCGTGCAGGCGGTTCTGACCAGCGATTCCCCAGCCCTGGTGGGCTCAAACATAACATTTGTGGTGACTTTGGTATTTCCCAGATGCCAAAAGGAAGATGCCAATGGCAACATAGTCTACGAGAAGAACTGCACACACGGTAAGGAACGTGACTCATGTCACAGGAAACACGAGCTCTCCGAGCTGGAGGCCCATCTGAGAGCCCGCTCCTCGCAGGTACTTCTCTGATTAATGCAAGACACCGCCGTCCTCCCAGGCCACCCCCTCCCGAGGCTGGGTGACGGGGAGGGGAGCGTGCGACTCCACTCAGTCCCTTCATCAGCGTTAGCCAGTGACACTTGAGCAAACGGATGGCTCTCTGCGACTTGGAACCCTCTTTAAAAGCTACACTGTCACGCTCAGTTTTTTTCTTAGTGTCCAGGGGATTGGACAGAGAATCCCTTGTTCATTCTCAAACTTTCTGTTTTCTTACTTGGAATTCTTTTGGCTACTCCGAGACTAGCCAATGTGACAGACGCTTGCTGATCGGAGTGATTCTGCTCACAGGTATTTAAGCAAGTGCTGTGTGGCTAGCACAAAGGCTAACATATCTCTGTTTGGGGTTCTGCTCCTTAACAAAGAGCTTATCTGCTTTAATGCAGAGTGCCCATGATCACAGATACATCAAGGGGAAATATCTTGTTAGAACTGTACATTCTCAGAACTTCCAAGCTAATTACTGAGGTTCTTCAGTCAGGGATTTTATTATTTGAAACTTTGATTAAACTGTCAATGTGTTCATTCCTTAATTTATCATATTCCTATGAGAAAACATGAGATTCTGTATAGAAAGGGTTTGAGAGTTTAAAAGTGTTGTATTTAATATTTTATAGCATTTTTCCCTAAAAACTGATTCTCATGAATGTTTCCAATGACAATCTAGCCCTCTGAACATTTTTTGTGTGAAAGAGTTCTTATGACTTATTAAAATTTTAATGAAATATCTATCGCCCCTACAAAGACCTCGGGATCTTTGAAGAAATGACTGATTCCAGGTGTAGGGCAGGAAAAGGAACAGGTGAGCCTGGGATAACTTCGAGCCTGGGAAGTGCTCAAAGATGAATGGGGACATGTCACAAGGACACAGACGCCAGCTTGAATGGGCTCCCACTGGCCCTGTTTGGGTCGATTTAAGAAAAAAAATACTAGTGGCTATAATAGATTGATAAATAAAAAGCTTCTCCATAAATTTCAGTGACCAAAAAAGTACCAAAAGGGAAAGGAGTTGTTCTAGACGAAAACAATATTGACTGTGACTTGTTTAAAAATCAATGTCATACGTATAGAAAAGTAGAAAGCAGGGTACATTGAGCAGCCAGATACTCTACCTAGATTCAAGAATTTAAACGTCCTGCCATATTTGCTCGATCTCTCTCCCCCCTTCCCTCCCTCCCTCCCTCCCTGAAACAAATAAGCCAAACATAGAATGTGCCCCTTGATTGCTGCGGTAGGGGTGGTAATGGCATTGTGTTTATGTAGGATACCCCTGTTCTAAGGAGACGTGTGCCGAAGTCTTCAGGAGTGGACAGTCACGATGTCCACTGAGTCAGGAAAGAAGCTGCAGGTAGAGTGTATCCAAATACAAAGGCAAAGCAGCCCTCAGATGGTACGAATGCAGCTGGGAGTTGGACACCCAGTGTGAAGATAAAATGTATTAAGTGGTGTCTCTAGACTGAACTTTCCTGAATAATTGCTCTACATAGAACTTACTGAAAGTGAACATAGACGCAGAAAAAATGCACAGGTCATAAAGGCGCCATTGGGTGGTAGTGGTTCAACTGTATTGAACCTAGTTTTGAAAAAATATAAGAAGTGCCTAATCCAATGATGAGCGTTGAGCATTCTGACACTGACCACGGTGACGGTTTTTCTTTCTCTGTTTAGGCACAGGCCCAGCTCCCGACACGTATGTTTACAACTGGACGGCGTGGGCTGAGGATGGTGAGCGGGGAGACGGCACCGGCCGCAGACACCACGTGTTCCCCGACGGAAGGCCTTTCCCTCACCACCACGGCCGGAGGCGATCTAACTTCATCTACGTGTTTCACACACTCGGTTGGACTTTTACTAACCCCTTTAGCTTTTCCTTAAAATTTAAAATGTTTTTTCTTATTCTGTAATCAAGAATGAATAGCACTGAGAGTTTAATAATATTAATATGTTAACTTCCCTTAGCTGGGATAAAGAATGAGAGATAAAATACATGTACTGCTTAGTCTTGCCAAATCTCCAGGACATCAAAGAATTAGCAGGAGGGGGGAAAGAGATTTTAACTTTCTTTTTAAAAACAAAACTACTCAATTTTTTTCTGTCTAAAACAGTAATCTGAAAAATACAAGTGTTTATATATTTGAATGGCATACAGGTGAGCATTTGTAGACTTATTCTCTGATTTTTTTATATTGTCAAATGATTTTTAAGAATTAAAGAAACATGTTTAGGACATTTGGAAAATGCAGGAAAGTACAAATGAAAATTTAGTGATCCATAATTAACACCAGAGGTTATCTCTGTTAACAAGAGGGTGTTTTCTTTACTAGTATTTCTTGATTAGGATTATAATGTATACACATTTTTTATTAATATCATGAGTATTTGACTATATCATTAATATCCTTTATATGCATTAGTTTAATGACTATATAATATTCCATGGTATAGAAATAACATAACCTAACCACTGCTCTTCTTTGACACAGCCTACCCTTTTCTCTTTTTTTAAGTGGTATCTACTTTGCTTTATTACTGGTGAAGTGATTATTTTTAGGGGGAGCAAATTTAGGTTATTACTAGTAGAGCTGCTAAGTCCTTAGTTAAAAATGTCACCAGGTGCCACCTGGCTCTGAGGATTTGAAAATTGCTACCAATAGTGTAGCCTCCAAATTTCTGAATGCTTTGTCTTCTTTCGTAAATTAGAGAAAGCTTCTCTTTCTTCCATTAACTTATTTACAAATCAAAACAAAATATTAATAATACACCTGGCCCTGGCCAGTGTGGCTCGGTTGAGTGTCACCAAAAGGTTGCCAGTTCAATTCCTACTTGGAGCACACGCCCGGGTTTCGGGCCCAGTCCCCCGTGGGGGCCGTGCAGGAGGCAGCTGATTAATGTTTCACTTACATCAATGTTTCTCTCTCTCCTTCCTCCCTCCGTCTATAGAAAAAAAATCAATAAAAATATTTTTTTAAACATAATAATACATTCTGATTGAACAAAGTTCAAAATACATGTCAAATATTATGCCCATCTATTTAAATCAGTTGATTTAAAGCTGATTTTTTTCAATGCTTTTATGGCCCTGTCTGTCGCCTCACCCAGTGTCGTAATTTCTGTGACCTGACACTGGAGTTTTCATGGAGTCACTTATGCTCACTAGCACTCCAGGCTCATTTTAGCCCAGTTAACATCCATTAACAAGTTAAGGTGTCTTTATTTAAATTCAGCTTTCAGCCAGAAATTTGTTTTTTTAACAAGGCTTTTGAATTTGCATCTTCTGCTGCGGTCTCCGAATAAACCGATGTTGTCCTTCAACTAAGCATTGCCCTGTGCGCTCTCAGGGCCACGGCTAACACTTTCCCACGTATGACTAACCCTCGGAGACGCCTCCTCCACTACCCCCCCCCCACAGAGCTGCCTCCGCTCGTCAAGGTCACGGGCATTCCCACTCACTCGTCCCTGGGAAGATGAGCCTGTTTGCCTGACACCCCGACCAGGTGATAAACGTGGTCCGTAAACATCCCCATGGCGCACGCATCCGCCTGACAACACCTGATGTTCCAGCCACTCACCTACCCCGGTGCTCAGGTGCATTAGAAAAGGCCTGCTCCCTGAAGGAGAGGGGTTACTTTCCCCCCTAGACAGGGCCAGTGAGGTCAAGGTTAGGGTTCAGAGAGAATAAGGGTGGCTCGAGGGAGCCCTAGAATGTGTCCATGGGACCACTCCACTCCTTTCTGTACCCACCAGGCCTTCCATCGCTTCCTGCATATTAGATGCAAATACTATCGGAAAGTGGAGGATTCTAGTCCCCTAAAAAAAAAAACTGCTTAATAAATAGCTGAAATAAGTAATATTATTACAAAAATAAGGTAGATTCTTGGATAAATTTTTAAAACTCCATTGGACACCTCACCATTATATTAGGTGTATTTTATGTGGGGAAATAGATGTATTTCAAGTGCCAAATCACTTATTTGTGAAAAGTATTTATTTGTGAACTAATGACTGTGTTATCCCACTAAACAGCTCTGTTCATTTTAACGGGGCAATCACGTTCATTTAACTGGGGGTTCGTTTTACACAGTTTTACATCAAAATGAGCACATCTTCTTTCTGAAGCAGCTAGAGCCACGTGCCCGTCCTGTTCTCCCTCCCAGAGCCACCTCTCGACGGAGGTGGCTGATCGCTGAGAAACCACTTCCTATAATGATCGCGAAATGTAACCAACACCTGACTATTTCCACCCTCCCGCAGGCCAGTACTTCCAGAAACTGGGCCGGAGTTCAGCCAGCGTCTCTATAAACACAACCAACGTGACGGTTGGCCCTCAATCCATGGAAGTGACTGTCTACAGAAGAAACCGCTGGGCCTACGTGCCCGTCGCGAAGGCGAAGGATGTGTACGTGGTAACAGGTGAGTGGGGGCAGCTCCAGAGTAACCGAAGATGTGGCCCTTAGTCCTGATGATGTTAGTGGGTTAAGAAAAGGGTAGAGCCGCGTGTTCTGGGTTAGGTTGCAATTCACCTGGACTCTTTCTCAAACTAATGTTCAATGATACATTCCCCCTAGGTTCCAGATGAACTCGGGTAAACTCTAGAAAACCTGCATAGGAAAGATGATGCTGAATTTTCCCTAATTTTAATTTTTAACTTAAAAGCGTCATGGAAGTCAGCCACTTAAAATCAAGTAATCATGCATTTTTTCTTTTTTTTATATATATCTTTTAGATCAGATTCTTGTATTTGTGAATATGTCCCAGAAGAACAATCGAAATTCATCCGATGAAACCTTCCTCAGGGACATCCCCATTATATTCAACGTCCTGATTCACGATCCCAGCCACTTCCTAAATAAGTCTGTCATGAACTACAAGTGGAACTTTGGGGATAATACTGGTCTGTTTGTTTCCGACACTCACACTTTGAATCACACGTATGTGCTCAACGGAACCTTCAGCCTTAACCTCACCGTGCAAGCTGCAGTGCCTGCACCTTGTCCTTCCCCTACCCCTAGACCTCCAAGGCCCACTCCTCCCTTCTGTAAGTGTTTTCCGGGTGACCTTTGGGGGCGGGGGTGGGGAGGTCCTTAACGGCTAAAAAAAAAAAATTTCACATAAGTTAAAACTATAACATTCCTAGTTAAAAGGATTGTGTACAGATGCTGCTAAAATCTTTCCATTTTTAAGGCCATTTTATCACTAGTCTAAGCTGTCGGAATATGGAAGAAAGGAGAATATGTTTAAAGCCACTTTGCAAGTAAACTTTGGTGACTTGTAAACAGCTCTTTGACCTTCCTAATTTTCACTGGCCTTGTCACGTGTACAGATGCCTCCCCCTTCTAGCGCATCACATTTCTGTTCCTCTCCCATTTTTTGTCACTATGAGAAGACACACTGGCCCCTCGTAAACATTCAGGCCACCCCGCTTTCCTTCCTCCCCTCCCGCTTTTCTCCCCACTTCCACTCCCCTCCCTGCCCTGCCCACATCCACCCTAGTGCCCCATGAAGACACAGCCACACTTAAAAGTGCTTTTTTAAATGGCCCAAAAGGAATGTACCTTGAGAATATTTCTTGGCAAGCGATATGGAAAGACTCCAGACATTAAAATTGTTCTGGATTTAAGGTTTAATTAATTAAATCCCACCCTCTACTTATAGATTATGAGGACATTCAAGAAGTTCTTAAGAATCTACTTTGGGAAGCCTTAGCTTCCGTCTGATTCCTTGACCCTTCCCCACTCAGCCTTCAGCACATCTTAGCCCCCCAGGACCCAGGGGATTGTAATAGGCTGACATGCTCTCACTGGACACAAGAGGGCGCCCTCACCATGCCCAGACTGTCCAAACTCGTAACTGTCTTTACCAAAAACCTGTTAGGTATAAATGATAAACAGTCATAATGTGTTATTAATAAAATGATATATTATTAAATCAAACATGTAAATCAAGACATGTAATTTATTACTGATTTTGATTAATTCTTTTTTGAAATATATATTTTTAAATTTTATTTATTGATTTGAGAGAGAGAGAGAGAAACATCGATTTGTTGCTCCACTTATTTATGCATTCATTGGCTGAATCTTGTATGTGCCCTGACCAGGCATTGAACCTACAACCTTGGGTCAGTTGACATGAAGCTCTAGCCAACTGAGCTACCTGGCCAGAGCCCATCTGTCTTTTAAGGTGTTAATTTTTCTCCATTAGCCCTTTAATCATACCTCAACTTTATAAATATAGATACAGACATACAGACTTGACTTTAGATGTGTCTGCATATTTATAAGCATTCTACCAAAGATAAAATAAACTTTTATTATTTGGTTATTTTTTAAAGTTTTAATTTAGAATATAGCAGAGTCCTGATTCCTTGCTATAACTTGATGGCTAAATTCTGCCTGTCAAGAACTTCAAAAGGAGTAGTTTTCTAGTTTCCTGGGAATAGCCATAATTCCCTGTACAAACAAATCTATTGCTACAGAGCATACTAGTTAAATCTCAGACAAAATGATCATCCTGTCACTTCAGAAGGACCAATGTGAAACTCAGGGGCCATCCCCAAGAGTCTGCCACAGACAGTCCTGCTGATGAGCCACTGCATTTGAATCCAACATGGCATCAGAACCCCTCTGGACTCTACCCAAGTGGCATTTCCCAAAGTGTGTGCCATGGAACACTTGCTTTTAGAGATGCTCTGAGAAGGCCCCTCTGAATCAAGGAGTGTTGCAGGGCACTCAGTCACCCATAAAATAGGAATAATGCTTCCTGACCTAGTCGGGTTGAACTATGAAACTTAAATGAACTGAGTATATGAAACTAAAGGCTTCGAGGAGCCCTGGAGAACTCTCTCAACCGGCTTCATACTTACATGTCGCTGTGTTAAAGATGTGGCCTTTATGAAACTTGGATGCCCTTCCTGCAAAACTGGGTCTATTTTCATGCCTTTTGAAATTTAAGACAAGATAACATTGCATTTTCAGTATCATATTTTCTTTCCAGTTTTTTTTTATCTTGCTAAAGGAATACCAACACCTTAATTAGACAATAACTATCTTTTTATTGAGGTAAAATTGATGTGTAACATTAAATTAGTTTCAGGTGTACAGGGCATTACATTCTTTGCTCTAATCATACTCAGAGGGATAGTTTTCAAGTGTCTTGTGTTCACTCCTTTCCTTCCCCACAACTCTGCTCACCAATAACTGAGACTTTTAGAACGTAAGCTTAGGAGCTATGAAATGGGGGAAATTGCCTTTTTCTGTGTTGCCTGCTTCTTAATCTATTGTGCACCAACCTTACTATTTTAAATTAAATATCTCATATATGTTCTGGTTTACCATGTCTAAGTAGATATATAGATTGTATGCGGGACAAGGAAACGGATGCTTATTACGGCACTTCCTAGGCGGCAGGCATGGGAAGCCGGTTTATATGCCTCACCTCATTTAAGTTTCGTAGTTCAACCCGACTAGGTCAGGAAGCATTATCCCTATTTTACAGATGAGTAAACTGAGGTTAGATTGTGGGTTCTATCATGTACATCTTTTACACTCTCAGCAACTAACCTAAACTCTGTTATTCCAATTCTCCAGCACCTGCTGGTGACAGCCCCCTGGAGCTGGGAGAGATTCCGGATGAAGACTGCCAGGTCAACCGGTATGGCCACTTTAAAACCACCATCACAATTGTAGGTAAGACTAGCAGGGGAAGGATGTTAGAATCGACCTCCGGCCATCCATTGACTCTGGAGGGCGGGGGAGGGGATCAGGGGCACCCCCTCTCTGTCCAAGGTGATACTTCATGCACCCGAGCAAAGACTCAATGAGTTTCTGGATTCCCGCCTGCCCACCTCGGCCTTCCTACCCACACCCTAGAGGAAATGAGCCCTCTGGAAGGTTCACATACTGATGAGCCTCCCCAGGACCTGGATCCCCGACCCTGTGCACCCCAGTAACCTGAATGAATGAGCCTTGAAAGAAGGCCAGTCATAAGCTCCCACAACTGCTTTCTTGCCTAGCAGATTTCACAAAGTCACACTTCTCGTATGTAAGAAACATGAATGAACAGGGCCACCACACATGGCTGTGCATTTTAGGCACAGCCCACAAGCACCCAACAGAGAAGACAGGTGGGGTCTGTAGCCCAGGCCGTCGACCTTGGTTTGACCTTGGGGAGGCGAGATAAAACCTGCGCTGTGCGCTCTGGGGCTGAACCACCTCACAGAGAAGCTGGTCAAGGCCTGAACCCAACACTGCATCCCCCAGGAGCGCCTGTTCCTGGGGCACCTGCCCAGAGGGGGTGCTGCCTTCTAGCACATACTCAGGCTCCAGAAATAAAGAGCGAGGTAGGCCTGAGGCACAGCGCAGTTTGACGTTGAAAATGCTGCGTGGACATATACGCGAAGCCATGGGGTAGATTCCCAGATCTGGTGTATCTGGTGTGGCGAGAAGGCTCTGTTTTGTTTGGCCTCCTGATTGGTTAAGGAGTAGTTTGATTTGGGTTGGTTTCCATGGTATTTTGACGCATTTTTCTATGGGGGTTGTTTTGTCAGAGGGAATTCTAGAGGTTAACATCGTTGAGATGACAGAAGTTCTGATGCCCGTGCCACAGCCTGACGACCCCCTGATGGATTTTGTCGTGACCTGCGAAGGAACGTGAGTACACGTCTGTCAGAGGAACGGGTCAAGTGAGAACCCCAGGCCTGAAGAGAGGCCTGACTGCAGGCTCCCCTTCCAAGCTGATTTATATTCCTAGCTCATCAGTAAGCCAGGACAAGGAAGGACCCTTCGGGGTGCCCTCAGGGATGCATTTGTTTTGCTAGAGTTGAGCAATGCTCTTTACCTTTAACTGTGGATGAAGGTGAATAATAATTATTGACCGGGCACTTACTATGTTCTTCACATTTTACATTTGTTCTCCTATTGAATTCTTGCACAATCCTATGAGCATCCTCATAGGGACTCTGGTGATTATAGAACTTGCCCCCTGGCAGAGCACAGTTCACACGCCAAGGTCTGGCTCAGAACCCTACTCTTTAAAAAAAAAACACACAAGTTTGTACTGATTTTAGAGAGGGAGGAAGGGGGGAGAGAGAGAAACATTGATGTGAGAAACCCCAATCAGCTACCTCCTGCGCACCCCCTAATGAAGATCAAGTCACAACCAGGGACCTTTAGGTGCACAGGGTGACGTCCAACCACCTGAGCCATACCAGCCAGGGCAGAACCCCACTTTTAAGCTCCCTGAGGCTCCTCCAGAGTAGCAAGGGGCCAATGTGGAATGGCTGGGTCCTAGCATTAATTAACAGCGACCCCTGACAATCCTCGCTCTTTATGATTTACAAAGCTCTTCTATATTGCATTATATAATTTGGCTTCCTATGGTTTGGTTATAACTATATATAATAGACTAAATATATATTAATGTATATATGTACTATATCAATTAATTAAATGTTAATTCACTGATTCACATGTATGTTAATCGAGTAACTAAAATGTATATGTATGTAAATGTACACATGCATCAAGAACATGGGCGGTATAAAAATGGTAGCTAAGAAGCCCTCCAGCTTGGGGAGGGGGTGGAATGAGGACTGACAGAACCTAGAGAAAAAGCCGACTGCAGGCGTGAAGCTGAAGCAGAGGCCACGGGGTGCCTCCACCTCACCCCCCTCCCCCATCAGTCCCAGCATCAGAGTTCAGTCTCTCCCTCCAGGACGTCTACTCAGGAGTGAAACTGTGGCTAAGACAGTCATGCATGGCCAGGTAGCCTAGTGGTCACAAGGACAGCCGGGAAACAGCTCCTGTTCGAGTCCCAGCGCCACCTGACTGCTGTGTGAGCTTGGGCCAATTATTTTCCCGCCCTGAGTGCGTTGTCCCCTGGTACGTGTGAATAATATCACTTTCCTCATAAAGCCATTGAGAGACAGACCATGTCACGTTTCTAAGACTCATGCCTCGCACACAGCAAATGCGTGCAGTCAGCCGGCATCGCCGCGGTCGCGGTGGATTCCTCTGCGGGCACCGGGCGGGCCGGCTCTGCCGCGAGCAGCATCTGTGCCTAACCCCGAGCCGGCCCTGCTAGGAGCCGGGGGCAGAGGAGTGACTGGGGCTTCCCGCTGTTTCCAACAGCCCCGTGCCTCGGGGGACATCATTTCTTCCTGTTCAACGCCCAGGGCCTCACCCTCCAGAAGCTACAGAGGAAACAGTAGTTCACCCCCAGGCTTGTTTAAGGGCAAATTATATGGGACGATTCGACGTCATATGGTTTGAGTAAAAATTAGGTGGAGTTCAAGTTCATAGAAATGTAACGATTTTCCCTTTAAATCTATTACATCCCCCCCTCTCCCTCTCGGGACTCATGCCCCCAGCACCCCCACGGAGGTCTGTACCGTCATTTCGGACCCCACCTGCCAGACCGCCCGGGACACAGTGTGCAGCCCCGTGGAGGCGGCCGTGGGCGGCGGGTGCCTGCTGACCGTGAGACGGGCCTTCAGCGGCTCTGGGACGTACTGCGTGAACCTCACTCTGGGCGACGATGCGAGTCTGGCCCTCACGAGCACCCTTGTCTCTGTCCTGGGTAGAAGTAAGTCTTGTTTTATGGTTGTGGGAGCGTCTCATATTGCAGATAGAGTGCTGTGTTAAATGCTGAAGCTCTTCAGAGCTTTGTTATCGGTGTTGAATTTTATTTCAGTGCAAAATTCATTGAACTATTGTTAATGTGGATTTGAGGACTGGCATTAAAATCCAATAGCAAATCTATTTAGGGAAGGGATGAGAGAGAGAGACTGAAATAGTGGCCGAAGAAAAGCCTTTGGATGAAAAAAACTCAACTGTGATCATGGAGCAGTAATAACAGGATATGATCACTGCATGCTCGAATAGATTTGTATTCCAAGGGGAAAGTGTAAACCAACCTCAAAAAATAACATTCTCCAGTTAAACTATGATAAAGGGGAGGCTAGTGTCATGTTGTCACTAGAATCCACCTGGGCAAAGATAGGAAGCCAAGGAGACGTGAGAAACCCAGTGGACTCCTCGCTCCCTTCTGAGTTGCCCCGTGTCCTCTCTTTCCCTTCCCAAATTCAACTGAGCATCACACGGAGACTGTAGGAAACCAACTTACCTATTCCTCAGATGTTCACCAGAAAACCAACCTTATCCTCCTAATGCTTAGGGAGGTAAAATGTTTGCAAAGTGGACTAAGAAGTTTCATTGAGAAATTTTCATTTACTGGTGGCTTCCAATGTTCCCGAACCTCAAAATAAGGTCTCTACCTGATGACCCTAACTGAATTTTGTTTATAACCAATTTGGTCGTAAGTTACTGCTTCATCTCTTAGAAGGAGTGCTACATGGTGGAACGGAAGGGAGAGATTAAATTGTATGCACATTACAGCACTTAGTGTGCCCCTTACCTTGAGTATTGTCAGGTGCAACCTAATGACTAACTCACAAATAACCCCTTTGGACGTGGAGCCTCTCTCATAAGGTAAAATGTACTTAAACATATTTAGTCGTTGACATAAAAGGCAGCTTTAATCTCATTAAAAGAAAAACTTTAGTAGCCATACATGTAATTAACTGTATGAAGGCTTATTGTTGGTAAGATCCAAGGCGCAGATTTGAAAAAACGGAAAACCAAGAATACAAAGGAAGGAATTCTCCTTCCTGGAGGGCAGGATACATCAGGGCCTGGGGTAAGAGTGGGAGATGTCGGGGTAGGAGGAGGCGGCTGGAGCCTCGACACTGTCACCTCCAGGAGCTGCTGTGTCCATGCCTCTTGTGCTGTTGCTGTTTTTTTGGAATTGCCTTTAGAGTGATAACCTAGTCTATGAAGCTTCCTCGGTGCCGGTAAACTACTCTCTTATCTGGATTAGATGTTAGATGTTTGTTTAATTATTCTTATAGTGAGGGGTAGCTTTAGGTGTGACCTGAGCCATTTTCAAAATCCAAATAAAGAAAGTTCAGAAGGAGAGCTTTGAATCCAGTGGGACTGGAACTCGATGACTCAGGTATCAAAGTCAGAATTTCAGAAATAGATTGTTGCTCAAAGGCAAATCCAGAGTTATAGCTGAAATGACTTTCATTCATCGATTCGATGAACGTTCATGAAGCAGCTGCGATTCTTTCAGTAGGTATTCATTGAGCATCTACTCCGTGCCCAGCACAGCTCTAGGCACAAGATGCAGTTCTAGGAAGAGTGGGGAACAAGACGGAGGTGACCCCTGCTTTTGTGAGTGGAAACAGACAGCACACAGATAAGACGGCAAGGTCAGGACACGGAGAGTGACCAGCATGGGCGAGAGGCCACAAACACTGGCTTCTCAGGCCGGGAGGTCAGGTGAAGTCCTGCCAGCCCAGCGGCGCCAGCTCGGTGAAGGGCCTCTGAACTGAGGCCTGATCGGAATTAGGAGCAGCCTGTTTCCATCCTTGTCGGCCACCAGCAGGGTCAGGGTTTTATCCTGTGCATAAGGGGAACCCCTGGTAGGTTCGAACCATGATCTTAACTGCTGCTTTCAGAAGATCAGATTGACTGCTGAGGGCAGCAAGGATTGTTGGAGGGAAAACGGGAAGCAGGCAGACAATTCCGAGGTCGTCCCAGGGGAGAGGGCTGGTGGCTGGGGCTGCCATAGTGCGGAGGAGATGGAGGGGGAAATAGAGAAACTCTAGTTATACTTTGGCAGTAGAGACCAGGCTAGGTGATTTTCTGGGTTCCAAGAGTAAAGAGAAGACATAATCCTTGCTTAGTGGTTCTCACAATTTAGGAGGAGAGAAATATGTGTAAGGAAGTAATTGCAACACCGCATGATTGAGGCAGAGGAAGAGAGGCGAGTAGTGACAAAGGGGGGGGTGACCACTGCCTCATGAATGTCTGGAAGGCGTCCCGAAGGGGTGGACACTTGAGATAAGCTGGGGAAGGACATTCCCAGCAGAGGGCATGGAGCTCTGGAAGAGCATGGGGAGGGTGGGCAACTCGCAGGATTTTTTAGCACAGCTGGAAGCAGGGGGAGGTGAGGCCAGAGGAGTGGGCAGGAGGACCATGGAGCCCATGATGTGGGCGCTGCTGGGTCAGCTGAGGCCTGAGCAGGTGTCGTCAGGGCATGACATCTCTCTCTTGAGCCCTTCACACAGTGTTCCAGACATGCGAACTCATTCTCTAAATGGAAGACAGGCTGACCCAAGACTATGTATTATTTAATGGAAAAGATTACCGAAAGCCCAGAGGGAGCCACGTATCTTCTGAGAGCTCCCTTCGTCATTTATTTAATTGCATTACAAGCAGCATGTCCTCTAGGTGCAGGATGTCGCTAACATGGTCTTTCTTCTGTTTTAAGACCCAGGCTCCCCTTTAAGAATGGCAAGTGGTGTCCTGGCCTTTGTTGGCTGCTTGGCCATATGTGTCACTGTGATCGCCTTCGTGGTATACAAGTAAGTGGCTGGTTCTAACACTTTAAATTACTAGAGTATATTGTTGAAAATAAGTAGCAATGTGCTGCACTAATGGGCCATTTCCCCTTTTTTGGCTTTTAATCATGTCGTGTGAGGGAGAAAAATCTTCCACTGAATGATGGATACCAAACTAGTCTGTTGATTTTGCTGTGGTTGTTTTTTAATCCTAAAAACACTACCAGATGTCAGTAACTTAACAAAATTGTGTCAGCTTAATATTTAACATGTAATCTCAAATTAGAGTAAACAGGCACATTTCTTGCTTGAAGGAGAGAAAATAAATATATTTCCATAAGACTTAGCGTCCTAAAAGCCATAATAAGGTTAAATGGAATTAACCCTTTTATCCTGGGCATGTAAAAGCTAGTGGAAAGTAATACACCCCCCAGCTGGAGATCTTTTTAAAATATTTCTAACACATTGCTTTCAGAAAACACAAGGAATACAAACCAATAGAAACCAGTACTGGGATCAAAGGCCAAGGCCTGCATGGTTTCCTGGAGCATGCAAAGGTCAAGTTCTTTCCCAGAAGCCAGGAGAAAGATCCACTGCTCAAGGACCACGTGGGAATTTAAATCTTCAGCCTTATTTCTAACCAGTAGCTCACTCTTCAGTGCCATATGTGTGAGCTGTGCTAGAGTAGATCACTATTCACTTTTTCCCCCCTAAAGATTGCTGTAAAATAAATACTGTGGTTCAGGGAGGTGCAATTTCTTTTATAGGTTAAGGGACATTTTAGAGAAGTGGAGAGGAATTATACAGCACGCAGCCTCAGCTATGTTATAACTGATAAAAGCAGTCAGCGGTGCTTTCTTTCATTATGATTTATGTTTCACTTATAATGTCTTAACATGATTAGCAGTATAGACATACTAAAGAGTAGGGGAAGAGGTACTATTCATTAGAGTCTGACCTAGGTGTCCTAGAAGGAGAGGCTAGACACCTTCCAGCTTCCCATATAAACACATGCATAAAACCCATGTCCTGTATTCCTGTCCTTGAGATCATGTTCCAAGCCAACTGGACCCTATTTCAATGAACATGTATGAGCTCCAGGCGGAACAGTAACAGGCCAAGCCTCTATTATGATGCGGATGCTTGCTATACTAAAATAATCATAATAATCTAATCAATAGGTGTGAATATTTTTGCGGCAACCTGCCCTGCCCAGTTGTGTAAAGAAATGGTATCCGTCCATTCATTTATCCCACGGACATTTAGCACTTTCTGTGCATCAGGCATGTTGCTGCGCACATGGCCCAGCACTCAGTGTTGATAGTCTTGTACGTCTCAGTTTCTGTGCACGCTGGTGCATTTATTTGAAATTACATATAATGATTTTCCAGAGAAGGAGACCCCTGGTTGTCCTAGTAGCTTCTCTAGTTAAATGATAGAGAAACTTGCCCTGGCCAGGTGGCTCAGCTGACTGGAGTGTCGTCCCTAAGCCAAAAGTCTGCGGGTTCGATTCCCGGTCAGGGCACATACCTAGGTTTCTAGTTTGATCCCCAGTTGGGGCGCATAAGGGAGGCACCTGATCGATGTTCCTGTCTCACATCTATGTTTCCCTCTCTCTCTCCCTTCCTCTCTCTCTAAAAATCAATAGAAACATATCCTTGGGTGAGGGTTTAAAAAAAAAAAAAAGATACAGAAACTTGATCAGTAAGGGTTTTACCTCCATTTGTAACTAAAACTATCTATCATATGTCAGACATGACCTCTTTTTCCTCTCTTCCCTGAAAAATAAAGTATAAAAAGAGACAAGATAATGGAATTGTAATTATTTTTCAATTTGTTGTTCGCCTTTCAATTTTATTTATAGTTCTGACACGTAAAAAGTTGTTTAATGTGGCCCCATGGAGCACTGAGAATTTCATAAGCATTTTATATTTTTAAATATATATATATATTCAGTGTGTAAAATTTCAATAAACTTAATATATAAATGTATATAATCAGACCAATCTAAAAGAAGAGGGTTTTCTATAAACAATTATTCTGGACTCTTTGAATAGTCAGTAGTATATTAAAAATTAAGGAAAGAGGCTAGTTCTAAATCCTAGATCAGCAAACTTTTCCTGTAAATATTGTAGGGTTCGTGAGTCATACAGTCTCTGTTGCAACTACTCAACTCTGCTAACATATACACAAATGAAAGAACAAGTTCCAGCAAAAACCTATTTACAAAAGCAGGTGGGAGGCCAGGTATGCCCCACGGGCCATCATTTGTTGACCCCTGTTCTAGACTGAAAGAGACTAAAGAGACACAGCAACCAAAAGCAATGCAGGAGTCTAGATTGAATCTTGCATGGAGAAAAAAAGCTATGAAATATGTTCTTGGGACAACTAAGGGAAATTTAAATACATACTGGATGCCCGATGATATTATGGAATTATTGTTAATTTTCTTAAGGGATAGTGAAGAACTTTATAAGGAGCTGGTGGAGATCAACATTTAGCCTAATACCTTCACTTCATAGATGCCCAGGTGCCAAAAATAAGCTATTTATTCTGAAATCATCTCCAAAGAGTAAAACATTTGCAGGACATGAACTGTGAAATGTCTCCCTATTTATGTGTTGGCTGTAGGTCATTGGTTTTCAGCCATGGGTTACTCTGCCCCTTGGGAGACACTGGTAATAGTAGATGTTTTTGGTTGTCACTACCAGGGTGAGGTGTTACTGACTTGTAGTTTGCCTTAGAGGCCAGGGATGCTGCTAAACATCCTATAAGCTACAGGACAGCACCCCACAACAAAGCTCCCCATACTATCTGGCCCAAATGTTAGAAACCCTGTTGTGGACTAATTGAAGAAACCCTGGACATGGATGTAAAGATGGACAACTTGGATTCAAGTCCAGCCCTGCAGTGGGAAGATGCTTTGTCGTTTTTATGATGATTAGGAGGCCAGGACATTAGTACCTATGCAGAAAAAGTATTATCAAGTTGCAGCAGACTCCCTTGGACGTTAAAACACAGGCTCCTGAGCCCCACCCTCAGAGTTCCTAATTCAGTGTTCTGGGGTGGGGTCCCCTAATTTGGGTTTCTCACCAGTTCTGGGTGATGCTGATAATGCTGCTCCCAGGACCTAACTTTGAGAACTATGGTCTTGAAATCCAGACTTTCCTTCTATCGACAGAGGGTAGCAGAGAGCAGCAAATAAACCGTCAATCACCAGGGAAGCCGGTCAAAATCCTCATCAAATCCCCCAACATTTCAATCTAACAAATAGCAGGGAAGAGAGCTGAAATCATGAGTTACTTAGATTTATATTCTCCATGTGACCTTGACAACAACTCATTTAACTTCTGCTGAATGGCTACTTGTAAAATGGGGAAAATAACCTAAACGATGGGGGAATGACGATTAATGTTTGCTGAGAATTAGAACTTCCCAAGACAACTGAAATGTGTAGGTAATAAATTTTTCTGGGAACTTCTTAGTCCTAGGACTTTTTATAAATGTCTGCATTTCAAACACTTCTGACTCATTTATACACATTGGTTGCCCTCGTTGAATTTTCAGTTGTTTAACAGTTTAGAGGCAGTACTGCCGATGAATTCATTACATCCGGGATGTATTACAGCCCCAAGGGGTAGTGGCGGGCTCAGGGCAGGTGAAAAGACAGTCATCCAGGGGGTGAAGGTGACCACCTGCTGATGGGGCTCCTGGTTGGGGAAACAGCCTTTAAGAACTTTTTAAAGAAAGGCCTCAAAGCTGCTGGAACTGGTAACCTAAAAATTCAGAGGTCAGTTCCCAGGACTCACCTCTTAGAGAATGATTTCGATCCTTCAACCATCATTGCCTGAGCACCAGTATGTCCCAGACTCTGGTCTGGAGAGGACACAACCAATGAACAAGCGACAAGGACTCCGCTTGGGGCTTGGTTCCGGACATTCACTGCAGCGCAGGCGCAGCCTCTGGCCTGAGCCCCCGGCCTGGCCGGCCCCCTGACCGCAGCCTAATCTGCAGGAGCAACTCCTCTGCTGTTTATACCTGACCTGCCATTCCCTATGTCCTTGAAATTCTGGAATAAAATTCACTTCGGGGATCTTCCAAAGGCTTTTTGGGATTTGGGTGCTCTAATGGTATTTTAAGTATTTAACCAATTGTAGTTCTCTGTATAATTTTCCCATAGATATCATCACGTCACCTCACTCATCAAAATTTCTCTCAAAGTTACACTGCAATTCTCACTGTTAATTGCATTGTACAGGTTTCAATGATACAAATGAACTATCAAGACTTGAGCTTAATGAGTCCTTAATTTTAAGGTGTTTATTAGAATAAATTCCTTTAGGATCTTTTCACATATAAAAATGGATTAACTGCTGATGAGAATGCAGCAGAAGGATTTCGTGGCTGTGGATATAGTTTTAAATAGTTTTGGAACTGAGCAGAGGAGGTAGGTAGGTAGGACTTAAGCCTGGCATTTCCCCTCCGTGCACCAAAATCTCTTCACCTATCCAGTGGAGGGAAAGGGGAGGAGAGGGACACTAAACTGGGTGACTTCCACTAAACTGGGTCTCTCGGAGTTCTGAGGCTTGTGCCTAATGGGGAGGACGTCACCCAGTTTCCTCACAGTGAGGGAGGATTGCGTCCTAAATTAACGGTTAGCGCTATGGTAATGGGCCAAATCTGGCGCTCTCCCTGTTCTTCTATGCCCCACAAGCACAAGTTGGTTTTTATAATTTTTAATGTTTGGAAAAACTAAAAGAGAATATTATTTTGTGCCACAGAAAAATTATATGAAATTCAAATATCAGTGTCCATAAATAAAGTTTTATCGGAACATAGCCACACTCATTCGTTTCTCCATTGTCAGCAACCGCCTTGCACTGCAGCGGAGTCCAGTAGTTGGGACAGAGACCATGTGGTCTGCACGGCCTAAAGTATTTGCTATTTAGTCCTTTGTAGAAAAGTTTGCTGACCTGTGTTTTAAAGCATTGTTGAAGTCCCTTCTGAACTGAACGGAGAAAACAAGAACTCTTCAGAGACTTTCGTTTATGTGAAATATAATTTCCTGATTAAGTACCTTGAGCTCTCACCCTAATCTCATGTCATGTGACTCTGTAGTGACAATAAGCGCTGTATTATTGGCCATGGTACGTTAAGTATACATTGCCTACAGACTGCTACGGGGAAATGTCAAAAAAGACTTTCTAAAGAAAAATAATCTAATAAGCCTCTCAGGAGAAATTACAAATGGGAGAATCACAACATGAAGCACCAAGTGATGAAGGGTTTCAAAAATCCCCAAAGCACAGCCACAAAGGAAAACATCGGTATATCGAACTCTGCCACAGTTTTAAAGTTCTGTATGAAAAAGACACCACAAACTTCTTATTTAAAAAAACACAAAACTTTCACATGCTGCTGGCGGATGTGTGAGATGGGAAACAGTTCAGCAGTTTGGAGAACAGTCTGGCGGTTTCTTATAAAGGGGAACGTGCGTGCACCGTATGACCTGGTCCTTCTACTCCTGGGCACTTACCCAAGAGAAATTAAGACGCATGTTCGCACAACAGGCTGTGCCTAAATGTTCATAACAATGTTATCTGCAATTGCCGCAGACTAGAAACAGCTTAAATTTCCGTCAACTGGGGAATGGATAAACCAATGTCGTATGTCCATACTATGAACTACCGATAACAACGTGGATACATCTCAAAAGCATTATGGTAAATGAAAGAAGCTGGACATGCTGAATGAGTCCATTTAAATGACATTCTGGAAAAGGCAAAATTATAGTGATTGAGAGCAAACCCATGCTTGTCTGGGACTAGAAGTGGGGGGAGGAGATTGTGGAACAAGGGAACTTTGGGGGGGCACGGGAAACATTTTATACCATCATTTTAGTGGTTATACAACTGTATACATTTGTCAAATATTATGACATTTTTGGGTTAAAATTTTGGTTATGTTTATTTTATATAAATATACCTCAATAAAGTTGATTAAAAATGAAAAGGCACAGACTAGAAGAATATAATTTTAATACGTGTAAGTGATAAAAGATTGGTGCCCAAATTATACAAAAAATTGTTAGGCAAACACGAATCATCACACAATGACACCATCTCACATCCACTAGATTGTCAAAGAAAAAAAATCTGACAAAATTAAGTGTTGGCAAAAGTGAGAACACAGGACCACGTATACTCTGCTATTGGGAGTTTAAATGTGAACAATAGTTATGGGAAACAATCTGGCATTATCTGGTGAAGCTGGAGATGCAGCAATCTCACTCCTGGGTGTAGAATGCCCCAGAGAAACGCCTGCACATGGGTTCCAGGGGACACGGGCACGCACGTTCAGAACGGCATGAGGAACAACCCAAATGTCCTTCAAAGTGGAATGGATAAATCAGTTGGGATACGCAATGGCATACTAATTAATCATCAATGAAAATGAATGAACCTACAGCTATAAACACCAAGAGCGAAGACTCTCACCAATGTAATGCTGACAGAAGTTGCCAAAGGATACATGCAATATGAAACCATTTATGTAAAGTTTTCAAAAGCACAGAAAACTAAAAAATATGGGAATGTACACAAACGTGTAATAGGCCTATAAAAAAGAAGGCAAAAGAATTACTATCTGAAATTCAGCACAGTGGTTGTTTCTGGGGAGGAGGGATGGGTGCTATGGAAGCGGCAATTGGAACTTCAATAGGGCTCTGATCACAGCTGTTGCTGCTATAACATTTTTGCAACGTGTCTCCTTGAGAAAACCATTTCGATCTTAATTTGATCCTAACCATGTTATTTCAGAACCCCAAAGAGAACAATGGGAGCAAAAAGAAGGAAGCAAGATCCCCAGTGTGGCACCTCTGGTATTTCAAAGGTGTGTTAACCTCAATGCACAGGAACAATGGACAGAGCTGGCTTAAAACCTTTCACTAAAGAAGTTAGTTACAGGTGTGGGGTGTGACTACCCACCATGACCTGCCCAGTTAGGGATTTATGACCAGATCACCCTGTGCAGTTACTTTCCATAGAACCCCTATTTTTCCTTCCACATTTTCAAAAATAATTTGCAGCAACTGTAAATATTTGGGGGGAGTCCTACACAGGTGCTTATATTCGTTTCTATAGTTTTTAGTTTCCCCTAAATTAGTGCTTGGAGTTATTCCTTCAAAAGAAATTAAATAATGTATCGAGCATTTAGAGCACCTACTATGTGCCTGTCACTGTGCCAGGCATTTTGGGATATCTGTCCCCTTCTACCGCCCTGTTCCTTTCAGAAGTCACCAGGCCCAGAGTTCAGAAAGGGCTTCTGGCTCCAGTAGAGCCACAGGCAAGTCACTTTTCCTCCAGGGACCTGGCAGCTCTCAAACGATTTAATAGGGTAACTGCGCCTTGGCATTCCTTCTTCTCCCCGTGCGACCCACCGGCACAAACACGTGCACGTGGGGAACCTACTGCACACGTTTTCCAAATGCTCCTTTACACCTCCCACCCAGCCCAGGCCGAGGTAACAGGCTTTCCTCCTGGGGTTTCCAGTTTGCAAGGGGATCTTGATAATTTTTTGGAAATGGGCAGTGGGTAGAAAATTACTGCCCTAATGCCAGTGTCATCAACAGGCAGCAACTTCTGCTCATTCAGTGCCCCCTGATTTAGGCGCTGTGCAGAGAAGAGTCAAAAACAAAATGAAAATTCCTGCCTTCATGGAGTTTGCATTTAGAAGGCAAGGACGGCGTCGTGCGTCACTGTGACGTAGGCAGAGCCAGGTGGGCAATTACTAGTCCTCTGACTCCCACCGAGCCCGAGCCCGAGCCCGAGCGGCTTACAACCCCCCTTGGGCTCTCAGACTCCGCCCCTGGCCCCGCCTTCGGGCCCTGGCCCCGCCCACGCCCCTGACGTCAATTTTCCAGGCCGCGCCGTATTGACCTGGCCAATCGAAAGCCTCAGAAGCCGCTCGGGAGGCATTAAGCCCCGCCCCGCGTAGTAG